CTGGTAACACTGGGTCACTGCCCCTCCGCCAGCGCGCTGAAGTGCTCCTGGTGGCTTCCCTGTGCCAGCTCCCTCCGGCATCACAGTGTGGCCTCGGCCTGCTCTCCAGATGTCGAAACATCACCAGGCTGCTGAGGCCCAGGAGGAACTAGCCTCCAAATCTGACTCCCTATTAAACCACAGGAGAGGGCTGTGTGTAATCTCTCTAGACAATATGTCATAACTAAATAAAAATTCTAGCCTAAATTGGGTAAAATGGTCTAAATGTTTCATACATGTCCTATTATTCTATACATCCAAAATAATTGTATATTAGAGGGTAGAATGGTTTGGAATCACTACTGTGTGTATGTGCATGTGAACTACATATACAGTCATCCCTCGATATACGTGGGGAGGTGGATGAGGGGCACTGGTTCTAGGACAGGTGTGGATACCCAGATCCACAGATGCTCAACTCACTTGACCAAGCCTCGTATCCAAAGTTCTCCGTGTACAGACTCAACCAATGCAGTCCGTGCAGTACTGTGTTTACTGAAAAAAATCCAGGTGTAAGTGGACTGCCACAGTTCAAACCATGTGGTTCAAGGTCAACTGTATGTGTATGTGTGTGTATTAAAAAATAAGCATATATACGGTTAAGTATACATATAAATACATACATAAAGTTAAAATATATACACAGCCTGACGTAGGAAAATGGCATTAAGGCGCAAAGCTCAGCAAAACCCTACCGCTGCCTGAGCAAACATCCACCGCAAGGAGCCCGTGTGCAGCAGGACGGTGTACTGAGATACTGATTCTGTCGGCGAACAGGTAGGATGGTAAGTCATTCCTGTCCTCAGATCCAGCTTCCCACCTTCAGAGAAGCATGAATAGCCATTGTAATTAAAGGCAGTGTCAGGGTCATCCAGTCTCTGGATCCAGTGAGAGGAATGTAGCAGACTCGTTCCAAAGGTGATGGGCTGTGCTGGAGCCGGTTTGCACTGGCTCAGGGCCACACGTGTGCGTCTTCCCAAGCCTGCCTTCAGTGAGGACAGGTTGGTGGCTTTCAGTGGACCACAGAAATTGGCAGTGACTACAAAGCAGGGCTGTTTTCCTCAGAGATCTGGTCATTAAACCCTTGCCAGTGCTGCTGGATGGAAACTAGCCAGTCAAGAAAGTGAAATCTTTGGCCTGCCAAGGAAACAGAAGTCCAGGTGTGCTGAGGCAAAGAGGGAGGTGCAGTGGCTGGTTTCCCAGCCGACCGCTGACAGCCAGGTGCTTCCCCACAGCCTCTGAGGGAAGGAAGCCCTGTGGTTGGGAGGGTGAAAGAACATTCAGTTTTATTTGTTGAGCAGCTAACCAGTTTAGAGGCAGAGTAAAGGGCAAGACAGGGAACACTAATTTATATTTTGTTCCTAGTAAGGCCTGCTGAAAATTGTAGCTTGGATTTGTGGTTCAAGGAGCCAGGTAATCATTTGCCTCAGAATCACACAGCTCCACCTGCTTAGGTCAGAGCAAGGAGGAAAGGGATGTGCAGAGATGACAGATCCAGGGAACTTCCTGGTGACAAACTGAGGCCCAGAGGATGCGAGGGCTGATGGGGCGAGACGAGGACCAGATCAGAGGCTGGACGTCTCCAAGACGAGGACCCTTCACTCACACCTGCGTCCCCCCACCCCCAATCTTTCGTTACCATTCTTATCATCAACTCTCACATTGACTGATGTTTATTTTTAAGACTTGTTTACATCTTGATCCAGTCATTTGGTCCTCCCCTGACTCTCCAACATGAAAAATGGAGAAACGAGGGTCTGTGTGGTATCTCCATCCCTTCCCTCTCACTTCTGAGATTTTTCCAGCTTCACCATTATTATTATATTTTAGATTTTGTTCTGAAATGGTTATGTTACCTAAAGGTGGATTCTGGTAATTAAGTTAAATAAACATATTCATAATGTGAAATTTATGCAAATTGTATTCCCTGGTTAAAATTTAAGGAGGAGTACCACTCTTGTGTTACTAAACCTGGATCACTCAAAGGGGGAATTTTCCAAAATTCACATCAAATGAATTATTGTTCCTTATACTCAGTTGCTTTTGTCTTTTTGCCTTGTACATGGACAGTTTCCTAGTATAGAATTTTGCTTTTCTTGAGTGTCAAGCTGCCTTTCTTTCTTCTTGTTGACAGAAAAAAACACATGCGTTTTCTGTCTGAACACCAACCTCTTCCAGGTCTTCTACCATTTCATTAATTGAGTGTTCTAAAATGACACCTTCCTTTTCAGGTCCACCACCAAGATGGCTTCCAGGAATTTTCTTACTGAATTCTCTATCTTCCTTTATCTTAGCTCTCAATTTTATTTCTTTAGGAGTAGATTTTTAGCTTCTTTTTTTCTCCTCTGGAAATTCTTTTTATTAACTCTGAATTGCCTATGCTTTTTTTGTTCTTGATTTGTTTGTCTTTGTTGGAGTCCAGATCACATAATCAGTATTTTCAGAAAAGCTGCATGGGAGGTAAGAATTTCTGGGGCCTTCATATCTGCATGTGTCTTTACTTTCTTGCTAGCATGGTTAATTTTACGTGTCAGCCTGACTGGGGCGCGGGGCATCCGGATTAAACACTATGCCTGGATATTCTGGCTGAGATTAGCACTTGAATCTTTGGACCAGGTAAAGCACATTGCCCTCTCCAGTGTTGGTGGGCCTCATCCAATCTGTTGAGGGACTGAACAGAACAAAAAGGTGGGGGAAAGCAGAATTCTTTTTATCTTCTTGCCTGCCTCTTTGATCTGAGACATCAGTTTTCTCCTGCCCTTGAACTAAGATTTATACCAGTGGTTCCCCTGGTTCTCAGGCCTTTGTACTCAGACTGGAATTACACTGCTGGCATTCCTGGCTCCCCAGCTTGCAGATGGAAGGTCATGGGACTTGCTGGCCTCTGTAATTGTGACTCAATTCCTCATAATAAATCAGTCTCCCTTTATATATATATGTACACACACACACACACACACACACACACACACGGAGAAGAAAAGAGACAGATTGATTCTCTGAAGAACCTTGATTTATTCACTTAACAAAAACTTGGATAGGACTCCACATTGAAAGCAAGCCCCCTCCCAATGTTGACAGCACTTGTGGCATCAGCATCAGGACTTCGGTGTCGAGCAGTAGCACTTGGGGGTCAGGAGGCTTCACTGTGACATAGATAGGAGACTTCTCAAGGAGACAGACTGGGATTCTGCCCAAGGCCAAGATGAAGACACTGCTCCGGGGCTCCATTCTGATTGCTCTTGGTCGGATGATAAACAGTATTTCCAAGAGCTTCTTTCACTACTGATTTTGTGATTGACTTGATGACCTTCCGGGGAGCAGTGTGAGTCACACTCCGTCTCCCTCGGAGGAGTGTCGCATGAGTGCTGCTTCTGTGCTTCTGGTCCTTTCCCTGCCTTTAGGGACTCCTTTATTTCATTTTGGAGGGCGTTATTTTGTGCTGGTTCTGGAAGAATTTCACTGGTTTAACAGAAACTTCACTGTGCTTTGACTGAAAATGGGACAAAAGCTTCAGCAGCTTTGCTACTATTTGAAAAAAAAAACTGGTAAGAGAAGACTGGTACTGCCGGATTATTCACCGGTGAGGTAACTCACGTCTCAGCTGCTACATACTCTTCAAACTACGTCTGCAGAATAACCACACTTGCAGATTTCTAATCCTTACACACACACACACACACACACAAACACACTCTATATTAGTACTGACCTTACACACACACACACACTCTGTATTAGTATTGACCTTACACACACACACACTCTATATTAGTACTGACCTTACACACACACACACACACACACACACTCTATATTAGTACTGACCTTACACACACACACACACACTCTGTATTAGTATTGACCTTACACACACACACACACACACTCTATATTAGTACTGACCTTACACACACACACACACTCTGTATTAGTATTGACCTTACACACACACACACTCTATATTAGTACTGACCTTACACACACACACACACTCTGTA